GTGTAGGCCTTGCATGAGGTACATTCTGCATCTAAGGGCTTTATAATATAAAATACATTAATTTTCTAGGAGCTTCCAGATTAATTTTAAAAAGTACATGTACTAAACTATCCTGACTAAATTATGTGAATGTGTGACTCAAGTGTGCAGTGTGATTCTTGGGGATGTCCTGTGCAGGATGAAGAGCTGGATTCAAGAATCCCTGTGGGTGCCTTCCAACTTGGCGTATTCTGTGATTCCAGGAGTAAATATATATAAGTTGGCTGCAACTTCTTAGAGGTCACACAATACTCCTGCAGCTTTCTAATAATACTTGAATAATATATGCAAAACAGTATAAAGTATTCCATTTCCACCTATGCTTCTTCGCTTTGTCTTCAGTTTGTTTAGGTGCTTTACATAATCACACCCAAGAACAGCAAATTGCCTTAGTAGCTTTGCAGTAACAATTTAACAAGAAGATGCTTTCAGTAAACTTCTGCAATCATATTATAAAAACTCACTCACAGGCCTACCAAACCTACTACTAAGGAAGTTTTGAGTATACACCATGAATTCACTGTGTTGGGAATTTTGGCATGCAGTCTGATCCTATCTGACCTGAAGACGCAGATGACTCTCCTCACACTACAGAGCAACTTGCTTCACCAAAGAATGGCCATTACTTCCCTTCTAAGGTTTCTTCAAACTGTTTCTCTAAAACAAAAAACTTAACTGCTCCAGCTGAAGTTTTCTCACCCCAGATTTCTGCCTGAAGCAGATGGGGTTTGGACAGCTTCAGCTGAAAATGTTTACAATTTTCCAAGCAAAATAAAGCTGGGAAGAGTCTGTGCTAAGAAACTCAATTGTTCTTTGAATAGGCTTAGCACTCCCCTTCCTGAGGGAAAGACTTCACAAGTACAGCTTTTCTAGCCTTCAGGAAATTCACCCAAGTTGTAAATATTAAGGACAACTTAAAAATACAGTATACAAGCCTGAAGTTTGGAAGCTGAAACTCATATGAGATTCCACCCACTACTCCTGTGCCAGCCCAGGTCACCCAGAAGCTAGAGGCCTCATGTAATAAAGGCATGCCCTACTGCCAGATTTTTAACTGTGTGTTTTACCGAAGCTACTTTACCACACACATGTTCTCATGCAAAGCTAAAGCTCCTACACTCCTCTTACCCCTCTATTGTTTGTTAAATTTTACAGAAATAAAACCATAAATACTTGGACATTACAGTGTGGGTCTAACAAACCAGACTTTAAATACTCAACTTGCACAGCTAAGTAACATGATACATACTACCACACTTCTTCATGCATGAAAACAAAGCTGAATTTCTTCTAGTGAAGTAGGCCTGATTTGCAGCAATTTTCACCTCAAATAAATGAACAGCTTCAATATTCTCACCTCCTCCCGCTGACTTCAGACTCCCATGAAACAGGTTAAGAGTGGTTTCCTCACCAACAAGGTTAATCACCACAAAAGTTGTTTCAGTCACTGACTCCTACATATACTGTCAAAGAAACCTTTGGGCTCCAATGTCTTTTTTCCCCTACTTTGGTAAGCACTATGGAAAGGATATTGAGATAATGGATTTTTTAAACAGCAATCATATACAAACTTTCACCAAACTCAAATTCCAGCAGGGTGGGATGGGATGAGAGAAGCCAACAAAAGACATTAGTTCTTATCTTCCACAAACAGTAGATATTGTTGAAATACAAGAGTGTGCATGTTTAGTTATATGCAAAACGTACATAGGTATTAATACTCTTACAGTCTTGCAGAGAAGCTTAACTCTCTGATATGTTTTCAAATTTAAACTTCCATGTATTTTTACTGCTCTATTTTTCCAGCATTGTAACTGAAAGAAACTAGAAATCCCACAATGACTGTAACTTGGTTCTACAGAAAATCTGCTCCGGTAGGTCAAAATGCCAAGATATCTCCTTCACTTTTGTGAATAAACTGAGAATTTCTATTCTCAAGAACAGCTTCACATGCTTTCCGATTAGGAGGGAGAATATGCTGCTGGAAATCAAATTGTCATCTTGCTTTTCTGAATTTCTCTAAGAACGAGGTTATTCAGAGTTATCATGTAGCACAGAAAAATATTAGATGTGAAAAGCCCGTAGTGGGACAAGGTTAAAATATGTTGTATTCCAGCATAAGGAAATACTTGTGGCCCTATAGGAAAATCTTTCCAGATAATAATCTAGCATCATCAAGAGGGAAAGCAAGGGACATCACTTCAGGTTTCTAAGTTCAGTAGACTTCTCTGCAGTCTGGCTAACTGCAGAATTAAGAATCAAAAAAAAACACAACAACTTTCTCTGAAAGTTCCACCTCAATCTAGAATATGCCTTGACTTCTGTGGCTAGTAGAGTCATTCAGCTCTGCAGAAATGTGGAGCCCCAGAGAGCACAGGATGCACATCTCATAGAATAATACTACCTTGGTCAACCTTTGGTGTCACATGTGAATGGTAGGTCCTCCTGGCAGTAAAAGAAAAGACGCCAGCCCATTCAACAAAGTAGTGCTGGCATTAGTAGTACTCCTGGCATTTACATGAAAAAACCCAACGTAATACAAAGTACTACACCAACATGACAGTAATACAAAGTACTTAATGACAATCCTAGATTTCCTCCAGTACTTCTAGGGTATTTTAACCCTTAAAAACAGAAATGAAAAGTTTTGACCAATTAAGTGGTCAAATGCTTGCATTTGTCTTTGAAGACCACACAACAGCCAACTATAATATAGCACATTAACTGGACACAAATACTCCTAAAAAAACTGCAAAATAATGGCTCCAGCTCAAAATCTTAGCTGAAATTGTTCTCTGCTGCAAGCTAAGAACATGATGCTATTGAATTTCAGCCCATAAACAATGACTCACTTAAGTTTCTACATCCTTATAACCTCATATACCTCCCATTTTCAGGAGGACATTAGCCAGGCATCTCACCAGTTGCAAGATCCAAGAGTTTCTAGAAGTTTCCGGAGAGGCTACAGTAAGTAGTATTTATAGTAAGTAATAGTGTAAGTAGTATTTAGTAGTGGGATCACAGTTCTACTAGCAGACTGTACAGATTTAATTATACTGAGCACTAACCAAATAAGAAAAGGATTTTGCCTAGATAGTATTTTTTACAACACATACAGCAATCTTCAGGGGCTTTAAAAGATTTCACCTCAGTATACTGCTTTCTGTTCATCTCACATCTAACTAAAGTAACCTTTTTTATTATTAATATTAAAATAAATATTATTTTATTTTATCACAGCCCTAGGAGAATTAAGTTATTTAGTTTCACATTCTCAATATCCAGTTTTACTTGTGCAAGAGCAACCCTTCTGACCTTTTTTCTTATAAGCACCATGGAAACAGGAAAGCAACCCATAATCAAGAAGGAAACTTCAGAATTAATTATGGTAATTACAAGAAAATTAACATTTACAGGGAGTGAAACTATAAAAAACAATTCCCTAACTCTTCACTGAACATGATCCCAACTGTGTCCTAAACTGGATATACTAAGTACCAAACTCACAAATGCTGCTTATGTAGGCAATTTCAACTATAATATTTCACTATCCCGTTTTCTCAAGCAAGACATCTGCTAACTAAAATGTTCACACTAATTGGTCTGGTCACTGTCAGACTACACAGAAAAGCACAACTCATTACAGACTCATCTTCCCTGCTTCTCAGAAAAAGAATTTGGGGTAAAAGCCTCGGGTTTGTCCCATATAAACATCTATACCCAAAGAAGTGTGCTAGCGCAGAAAAAAGCCAAACAGGTTACAGAACTCCAAGACTCTTGTTCCTTGATTTGGCCCCTACAGAAAAACACATATTTGTACATAATGTTCCTTAGAGATCAGCCCTCACAAGTGCTCACTCTCACCAATCTGTAGACCACAAAAATCCAGTCATTTGCTATTGGTTCAAAAATCTAAGTTTAGTATCTAGCCAGCAATGCTTGCCTCCTGGTTAACAGTTAGATTACTATTTTTTAAGTTTCTTCCACATGTTTGTAAAGATACACACTTTATCTCCTTTGAGGCAGAAATCTCACTGCCCTGCATAACTCAGCTTAGGTGAACGCTTTAAGTTCACTCATCTGCTGTAAGATGCATCTTCGCAGTCACTTTTCCTGAAATGTACCACACATTCGGTACCTTTCCTGTCAGGTAACAGCTATGCTTCACTTTCACTACTCGAGCACTGCGCACAACTCGCAGTTTACGTAACGCGGCTTCAAAGGTTACACCCATCAGCGAAGTTACAGCCTGAGGCGACCTATTTGGAACAAAATCTTTCCACCACCCCAGGGGAGAGGAGGTACCACCTCACAGAAAACTTCGAGCTAGTCACCCCTGTCATACCGGCTTCCCGCAATAGGAATGAAGCGCCTCACTATCCCACCCGGGACACGCCGGGACTCACAAGTCCAGGACACCGTGGCACCACAACTTCTGCCCGCGCTAATTAACCCCGCGCCGCCGCCTCTCCCCGCCCCGCCACGTGCGGACCCGGGGCGGCGTTTTCCCTGGAAACCGCTCGCGGTGGGCCCGCTTCCCGCCCTGCCCGGCCGGGCTGCGGCGGGACGGAGGAGAGCGCGGGAGCTTCCTCCTTCCCCCTGCATCCCTCCCGCTACCCTGTCACTTCGGCAGGATGAAGGCGGGAGCCGAGGGAGGAGCCTCTTACCGCTCAGGTGGGAAAACAAACACACAAAGGGGTCTCACCAAGATCCGCAGAAGGGTGAAAGGTTTTACTCCCTGGGGTTTTAATTCATCGGGGAAAACGGGGGTCCCGGAGCATTCTGTCAGGGGGGGCTCCCCGCTGCCCTCCCTTCCCCCCAGACCCAGGAGTAAACAAAGCGGGAGCTCATAGAACGGTACATGGGTGGAGACGGGGACCCCGAAAACGCACAAAGAGCCGGGCCCGTGGTTTAGGGGAGACCCCCGAGGGTCCGCCTGAATAGGGGAGTTCCCGCCTCACCTGCTTGCCCCGGTAGAAGAGCCGCTGGCGGTCGGGGCTCACGCGGAAGGTCTCCTCTATCTTCTCCCGCAGGCACTCGATCTTGGTGAGGCGGCTCAGGTCGTCGATGGTCTGGGTCTCCGTGCCGTCGATGGTGCGGACCTGGATCCACATGGTGCGCACCCTCTCGCCTGCTCGGCCGGCTGCGGGCAAAGGAGGGGAGACCTAGGCAGGGGGTGGGAACGGGATCCGCTCCGCGGGTGAGCGCCCGAGGCGTGGGAGGTGCAGGGGAGGGGTCCGGAGGCTGCCCCGCTCTTTGTTCGGCCCGACGGGGCAGGAATTTCAAACCCCTCGGAGCTGGCGCGACCCTCCCGCCCGCAATCCGGGCCGTCCGTCGCGCTCGGCGGGGTGCGGGAGAGGGAAGGGGAGCCGAGCAGATCCCACGGCGCTCCCCGATCCCGCCGAGGCAGCGCGGATCGCGGCGAGTCCCGGCGGGCCGGCGGCGGGCAGGGCTACGGGGATGCGCCGGGAGCCATCGCCCGGCCCGGGCACTGTTTACCGGGGGGCGCCGCCGCGCTCACATGGAGGTCACGGCGCCAACGCCGATCTCGCGAGAGCGCCCGGCCGCGGCCGTGCAGACAACACGGCGGGGCGGGGGCGGGGGGGGGAGCGAGGCGGGCACGCGGCACCACCACGCCCCCTCCCGCCGCGCTCTCCGGCCGCCCGGCGGCCCCGCCCGCTTCGCCCCGCGCGCTATGCCCGGCCGGCGCGAGGCCTGAGGGGGGAGGGGTTGGCGCGCGCCGGGGCAGAGGCCGTTGGCGTCTCCACGGGGCACGCGCGGCACTGAGGGCTCTGAGGGCCCTGTGTCCAGGGCTGGCGGCGCCCCAGCATGCATGGACAACCGGGACCAGCGCTTCCTAGGACGTAAAACCTTGACACAGCTGCATGTAATCCTACCCCAAATATACAGATTAATCCTAGCAGTGGATGGAAATACGGGTCGAGACTAGAGAAGGCAAGCTTCGTCTACACCGAGAATCTGGTGTGCATCTGGCTCTCTGTCTTTTTCTGCATTTGGCAATTCTGCAAATGACCACCAGGCAAATCTGGAGTTACAAAGCTGTTGCGGGGGAGCCCTCTTGGGTGGCTGGGCCCCACACATTTCTTTGGTCACTCTATCACAGGATAGTGGAGAACAAAGAAGGTTAAAAATGAGAAAATGTGCATCTTAGTAACAACCGTTTAATAGTTAAAACCAAAATCTATGCACACAAAGCAAAATGAGTCAGTACTTAAAGTTGACAGGCACTTGTGCATTTATCCATTTCTACAAAACCAGAGCTTTGTCATATTTAGGTTGCTTAGGAAAACAAGCACCTTAACTCCTAATGCCCTGCGCTTTCTCCTTCTTATCCCAGCTCTCATTACTGATCATGACACCAAGTGGTCATGCATGTCACTAGCCTTCCCCACTGCGTCCCTTCCTAGCTCACTGACCTCCATTTTATGATTCTACAATCTTTTGCCCTTTTTGATGTAAAGGTAGGATGTATTTTAAATTTGTTGCTCATGTTCAGTGTGTGAGGGACTTCAGCTTTAAGCTTAAGCTTTAGAGGTGTGGTTTTCATGCAATAATGAACTAAGTTAATCTACAGGACATCTGTTTAGCTGATTTTGCTAACTCAGATGAAATTTATGATTACTGCCTGACAGTTTCCCACTTTTCTGATTTTCTTTATGGTATTTGTTGTATTCAATTATTCCCTAAATCATTCATCATTCATGTTTCTCCCCTTTGAGACTTAAATTTCTCTGTCTGAATATGAGACCATTTGAGCCTCATTTGTTTAAACAAAAAACGTCTCTTGTTTTCTCTCAAATTCCAAGGGATTTTCCCATGCCAGAAGTCCCACTGTATCTTTTCTCTTGTAATTACAGTAGCATCCCTCTTACTCTTCTTCATTTTAATGAAATTTGATAATCGTTTTGCATTTATACTAGTCATCATCATTATTGGGTATGTTCTAGAAAGTACATTTTTATGTGCTTTCATATGTATATGCATACACTTAAAACACAATAAACTAAAAGTACCACTAGTAAAATGACAAATAATCAACATGATTGTTTCATACTATCCTTTATTTGGAATGCTTTTTGACCTTCTGGAAAGTATCTCTGAGAAGGAGCTGGGAAATTCTGCTAAGAAATTTTTTACCAAAAATTGGTAAAAGTAAAAACTACTGAACATCGTTGTAGCATTAAGAAACAGGCATTCTTTATTCAGCCAGATGCACAAAGGGTTATGTCCTCTGAAATATTGTGCAAGCTGAGTACTGAAAAAGCTCCATAATATTTTGCATAACATTTATTGATTTTGAATAAACATGCATATGATAATCATTTCCCTAAAATCATTAATATGTGTTCTCTCTCCTTTACACTTGTGTTCTTCTGTCCTGGTGGTCCCTGCTGGTCACTGACCCCAAAGTCATACCTGACCATCCAGTGAAAAAAAGTAGGCACAACCAGGCTTGTAGCTTTCCAGTTTTTCCTCCTACAGAGTAAGTATTGTGTGGTTCCATAGGCCAGTGGTTTTTGAAGAATAAGCATTGTATAACTGATTTTTCATCAGGCAACTTTCCCACTCTTTCAGGCTTGTGAAGTTTGTCTTTCTTTTGAGCTTTCATTTCACCTTGCTTTTTTACTAACATCATATAAGTTCCTTGTGTTGCATGAGAAATCATGTTTTTTCAGCAGCTTAAAGCAGGTGCCATTATCACAGTTATTAATATGATCACAGTTATACTTTGCAAAAGCAAAGCCACAGACATTGTTATGAACAGACAAAATGAGGCCAGAACTTTTTAAAGAAAAAACTCAGGCCTGTTTATTAAAAAAATCAGGACAACTGATGAGATCAGGGTAAGCCTGGAGCATATGCAGCAAGTCAGAGATACAAGTAGCAGACTGTGTACCACACAGGGTGTCTCCTTGAACACTGGTTCTCAGAAAGACCCAGGTGCTGGGCACCCCAGAGGTTTTTAAAGTCTCTTGAGGTGGCTGGTGTGCTTTTGATCCTTTCATTGATTGGTCCTTTTTTCCAGTAGCTGGTTGGTCCATTTTGTGGTGCATTCCTGACCAATCATTCTGGAATGCCTTGATTTCCCTGGCTGGCTCGTTCTCCTGTTACAGTCTAGAATGCTGTCATCACCCCATTAGGTAACATTCTGGAAAGTTCCCTCTATTAAACTCACTGAGTTCTCACCACCCCCCTCTAGTGGGAACACACCCATACTACAGTGCATTTAACTTCATAACTTATTATTTCATAACTTATTACATAAATTAGGCATAACGATTCATTACATAATTTAGTAATTCACAACAAAATTACATTATTAATAATTCATAACCCCACCTATGAGACCAACTTTATTTACAACAATATGAGCTGCTGTACCTCAGGATTCTTCCTGATGCAAGCAAATATATGAGTGCAATTCCACTTTTCCTTCCTATTTCTCTATTTCTCTATTTCCCTAAGTGTTTCCTGATGTTTTAGTTCCATTATCTTATACTTTAGTTCTGAAGGTACAATTACCTGCCCACATGAGGTTAACAATCAATTGCTGGGATATTCCATAACTGTTAATGATAGGGCTAACTGCCCATCCTGATTACTACAATTCAGTTTTTGTTCTAGGACTTTCAACTTTTTGCTAGGTATTTTTCTATGGATGCTAAATCTGAACCAGAGTGCCTGTGGTTATTGCAGGCCGTGTGGCTCGCTCCTGCCTGAGAGCTAGCCTGGGAAATTCATGGGAGGATTTAAAAACAATCCTCAAAGACAGAAAACAGCCCTTGCAGGTGTTGTTGTCTGTCTCTTGTTTTCTTTGCGGGAGAAAGTCAGGAGGTGGTGTACACCACTGACCAATGATGGTGATGTAGCAGTTTACTAACCAAGAAACCAAGAAACTAAGAGTTTCCTTTCTGTACTTTCCACGAACCAGTCTATAAAACAAGTCTAAAGTAATAAACTAGGGGAATTCTCCTGTTTTGACTCCATGAGAGTCTGTGTCGTCTCTCCTTGCCGTTCCTAATAGAGCGACATTTTTCAGCTATCTCTTTGGCTGTTTTGTCAGCTGGTTGATTCCCTGTATTAACTGGGGAGTTTCCTAACTGCTTGATGGGCTTCACTAGTGCATTGCAACATTCTTTTTGCTTTTTTACACTATGTAGTAGTTTACTAATTTATTTTTTATACTTTGTTGGAGAACCTTGTGCCTGAAACAATCTTCTTTCCTTTCATATGCTCTATGGGCATGTATTATTCCAAAAGCATATTTTAAATCGGTCCATATGTTTACCCTTAGCCAGCGCTAAGTGTAAAGCCATTAATTCTGCTTTTTGTGCTGATATGTATTTATGTAAAGCCTGGACTTCTGTTACCTGGGTCAAGGTTACCATTGCATACCAATCTGCCTATCTTCCATTTAATACCATGCTGCTCCCACCGGCGTATAGCTCCAGTTCTGGGTCCTAGATAGGATCACTATTGAGGTCCAGTCATAGGATCAACATTGTCCTGCTCCAGTAAGGCAATTTGGTATTTTAACATCCTGCTAAGAAGGCTTATAGATCTTGTACAGTTCTTGGCTCCAGAGTCTGACAAATGGCTTCCTTTTCGCTGCTTCCCAAGGTTTTTAGCTGCTTTTGCCTTGCGACATAACAAAACCAAGCTGTATTACTTCTTTGTTTTTTTTTTTTTTTCCTGTTTGTGCTATTTTCTTTGATATCCTGTATCCAGATTGTGTAAGAAATTTAACAGACTTATAGTAGCACCCAGGCACTTCCTTCAGTCTTGGTTGCTGGCAGAGTATAATTTATACATTGTAGTAAAATTCTGCTCAGATTTTCTTTTTCCAGCTTTCCACTTTCTTTTACCAGCTGATTGCCAGCCATAGTGGGGCTGTTTTGAAGTCCTGAGATACGTGAGTCCATGTTAGCTGAACCTTCCATCCAGGGTTTAGATTCTCCCACTCAAAATCAGACAACTCTCCAGCTTTGATCAGTTGCCCATACCAATGAGGTTTCAGCATTCTCTACCTCCTCTGGTGTTTCTTCTACCTCATTGGATTCCTGTAACATGAAAACCTTTGTCTCAATGGCTTTTCATTCAGGTATTTGAATTTGTATTTCCCCATTCAGGAAAGTTATTTGATTATTCAATTTTCTCAATAAATCTCACCTCAACAAGGGAATTGGGCATTCAGGCTTACACAAAAATTGATGTGTCCCCCACTGTTTTCTTAATTTAAATGGTAACAGTTGTAGAAAAAAAGGCCTGTTCTCTTTCCTCTGTCTCATACCCACTTACTGGTTCCAAGCTAAGTTTTCCTCTGCATTTATTCAGTACTTAATGAGGTATATTCAATGAGGTGTATTCCTATATAAATTTTTTAAAATTACCTGTTGAT